TCTTAAACAACAAAATAATTTATTACTGTTCTCTCCCATGATTGGTTAAAAAGTATTTGAGCAACTGCTTAGTTTAATACAATATTGCTGTAAATATGTCTACAAGCACTTAAAAATTCCTGATTTGTCTTGAAGAAATAAGAGTACACAGTATTGTTGTTACAAGTGACTGGTAAGTAAATAAATCTTTCACTGTTTTTAAACATTACACAAAGCAGTTACATAACTAACTTGCTAGCTTGTGCATATGATACATTTTCATGTACAATGTTTAGACATAAAAAGTAAATTAATTCTAAAATTATTGCACTTGAAGTCTGATGACAGGGTTTTCTCAGGCTTCTGATATTGTTTGTCACTATAAATGTTTTTGAGACACATCATAAAGTCAATTCTATATGCTAACTCTAACTATGTTTCAACAATTTTAATTCAAAAATATTTTTTAATCAATATTTTGTCATTTTCTGACATTTGGGTAGGGTAATTCATGAAGAAAAAAGAAAAAAGTTCATATTTTCATTTTTGCACTGCTGTAAAGTCTTGCCTGTAAACAGCCCACTTGTCAATGTTTTTCAGAATTTTACTTCCCATTCCAAATAATAAGGGCTTTTGTTATGAACCTATACCATTGAGTATATATTCTCCATATCTTGATTTTCATGCTTTCCCTTGATTGCCACATCAAGTGGTTTGATCATTTACTTATGAAACACCTATAACGTTTAAATACAAGTGGATAGAAAAAGAATTACACTATCACATCATAGTAGAGAAAATATATAGGGTTAAGAGCTTCTTTTTTTTGTTTTAAAGTTTTTGTAAATGTTCCTTTCATTTATGAATTGTGAAAGTATATGTGTGTTAAATCATATCTGCTTGAAAGCTACAGAAATTTTCTTCAAGGAGAAGGCATCAAATAACTTGAAGTATGGAAAACTCATTTATACAGGTTTAGAGATAGGTTGAATGAGTAACAAACAAAACTTTATAACAAATGTATCACATTTAGAGAATATTTTTTTCATAATCAAGTACAAGTAGTTTACCTAGACACAGGAATATACATACAATATGAAACACAAAGGTCAGATGATTACAGATTGCTTAAGGCTTAATACACTTTCTATGGGCTTTCTCGACTTATTTAGGTCTAAAATACATATGTTCAGTTTGTTCTAAACCATATGCTTATCACTTTGTGAACACGCATTCAGACATTTCTGCATATTCAGCTAAGTTTGCCTTCATTACAACTTTACATTTAATTTACTTTGCAATAATCTAGCTTTAGGTTATTTTATAGACTGCTATAAACACCTTTCAGCTACTTTTTTCTTTACAGGTTTTATTCTTCATTTCTGTTTCTTTGTTTCAACTCGTAAATCCATGTCATATACTAAATGCTCATAACTGTTTCATACTCTGTACACTATTTTAAATACCATTAATTTATCTAATAGTTTATTTTACATGTAGTTTATTAAGTAAAGTAACATACATATAGTTTTATTAAATAAAGTTACATCTACATGAATTTGTTTGTCTGACTGTGTAAAACTTTTTCAAATATACCAAGACTCGTCGAACTAACACACAGTACCTGCATGAAAGTGCAGCTTAAACTACATGCATGAAAATGATAGAATAAGGAAAATTCAAGTGAAGGGCATGAAAACTACCACAAATGTTTTGTGGATCACAGTTTGTTAAAATAATATTAATTTTAACTTATACTCTTAAGATTGTTTGGGTCAGAAAATCTAATGTAGAATATTATTATATTAAATTATTATTTTTTTATTATTTTACACATGCAAAACCAAGAATAAAATATTTTAATAATCACCTTGTTCATTTATTAGTAGATCTTAAACAACATACACCTTTAGCTTAATAATTACTTATTGTTTCCATATGGTAGTTATAATGGGTAGGCTAACATTGATTTATAAACATAAAGAAAAGTTTTATTGATGGTGGAACATTACTACACATTTTGACAGAACATTGGTTTGTCTTCTTCAGGTATGATCAGTACTATGCAATACAAGGTTTATATATCATTACAAAGACAACAAGAATTAAATGTGATGGAAATGTGTCAGCAGGTGACAGGATATAGCTAAAGCCTAGAGGTCAAGTCTGGTCAAGTGTATGAATGGTGAATAGACCTTGCCAAATACAACTGATGTTGCTGGGGCCATTATTACAGTCTAGTGAAAGGTCATTTGCTTGGATGATCTCTAATTTCTAAACAATCACTTTCTTTTTTAGTTTTGGGTTGGTGTAGGAGAAGTGTAGGAACACTAAGGCTTAAGTAGTTGGTGTCAGGATCATGAAATCACTCCCAATTAATGAATTATCTAATACTACATAGTACATATAAAACCATAATTACATTATGTTAATATTATAATTAACTTATATCACACTGGCTTGGCTCAATAATTAATGACCAATAAAGTTAACACAAATATAATTTATATTTATAACACCTGTCTATGTGGTCTCAAGCTCTGTAGCAGAGTGCTTTATTTGGCAATGTAGTAATAAAAAAATGTTAAGTAGTTTACCACCACCACCCCCCTAAAAAAATCATAAAATTACCCCAAAAAGTACTCAGTTTAAGTAGGCCTAAGCCATGTTAATAAAATAGTAATATGTAACACTAAACAGTACCTCTAACAGTATAACCTGACTATTAGTGTTAGTAGCAGAATAGTATGTCAGTATTCATAGTAATCATGATTACTAATATCAATAACTCACCCATTGCCGACATAAAAGAAATTTACACTTCACTCTACCGTGTACGAAGTTTTCTTTTTCGACACTACTAGTAGTCGTTATAGTTAAGTATTTAGTTTACTTTGCAAATCTTAATATTTACTGTATATCAACTTATAACTTTAAGTTTTACGACTGCTGACAGGTTACCCTAACTACAACTTACAAAAAACTAAACAGAATAAGTTGGATTATATCTAACACCTTTTCTTGTCTACTTTGTTCGTCTGTCGTTAACATTATGCAAATTACCAAACCACAATCGGAACATTGCTCGGGCTTTTCCGTCGTTCCGACCAATGTTCCGACTGATACAAATCACTACAGTCCAGCGGCTTCTGTTGTTGGAATAAGCAATCCAAAGTAAACCAAGAAAGCATCACAATACGTTAAGAATAAAAAAGAATTAGCAGTCATTAAAACAAATACCAAACTAAAAAAATAAGCAGTTTTAGCACGAAATATAAAAACATCTACTAAGAAACCCAATTTACTAGAAATATTCCAGTGGAGAAAACTTCATAATGAATGCTGTCACGTAATTGAGTTGTTTGTAATTGATTGTTTGTTTGTAGTTATGCACAAAGCTACAAAATGGGTTATCTGGATGTAGGTTAGTCAACATGAACATTAAATCTACTCTCTATTAGAAAAGACTGGTATAACAAAGCACATTTTGTTTAGTTATAATGATATTTTCTTCTTATGAATCAGTTAATGTTCCAGAAATGTAACATTCCTCAGTCAGCCTACATCCTAAGAAAAGTGACATTATTGTTTTCCCTATATAATTAAATGGAATAACTCAACAAGATTCAATATTGTTACGACAGCGGGGGTCACGTGACTTTAGTAACACGTCATATTCTAGAAGGTTCGTGAAGTCTCGAGCTTCTACTAGAGATGCGATAGTCTTGTATACATAAGCCGCCAAGAAGTGACGGCAAGAAGGCAATATGTAATTGACAGTTGAGTCGAGCACGTGAGACGTTCGATGTGAATTACAGCGTTTGTTATAGCGCGACTGTGGAAATTAAGTGTATTGCAAAGTTTTATTCAGAAAGAATAAACCAGTTTTATTTAAGAAAGGACTTGTATCGCTAAAGTTTCTTCGGAAATAATTTTTACGGAAAATTAACTAACGACCAGAGACTTAACAATATTTAATATTTAAATAAAGCTTTAAATTCAACTACAATTTAAACAACAACGTAATTTGAACTGCTGAGAGTTTTCAATTAAATATTTGTATATTTCTCTCTCCAATAAAGATGTATTACAAACACTTGTTTTTTACTTTAATTGATTGCTTGTTATGAATAAAAATTGTGTTATTATGTGCTAACTTGTGCCCAGTCTGACACAATTAAAGGTGTTCTGTCTCTTTTTTTTTCTTTTTTTCTTATTAGTGTCAGATTTAGTCAAAGTCACGGAAAGTCAGGTTTTACTTTACAATGGATTTTCTGGTGAATGTTCAGTTATCCTGTGGTTCCTACATAATTATTCTAAGGGCAACAAATGAGCCTAAAAATAGCACTTTACTATTGTTCTATTAAGCATGTACACTTTATATTGTATCGGCAGGATATATAAAGTAAGTCTGATTTAACCAAACAAAGCTCAAAAACAAAAACACATTGGACATGATGTACTAAACAAAATGAAACAAGCTTTATACATGCCAAAGATTAAAAGAAAAAGAAACAAGAATATGCTTGCTTTAGGACACTGGATGATCGTCTCCTACTGAACTTGTGAATTAATTAACTGACTTTGTTCCTCAAGGTGTTTTCCCATCAATCAACTCACTTCAGATCCTGTAGATACTGTTTAAATCTAATGTTTCTTACTTGATATGAAACTTCGAATTTACCCAGATAATTGATCATTCTCTTTGAGCATAGATGAGTTTTTAACCTCGATATATCATCTGTCATGCCAGTGAAGAACACTGCTTGCCCTTCTTGCACAATATGCAGCGTTACAGCAATATCTCTCGTAGTTGGAGAAGTTGTCATCTCTTGTGAATAACATGGAAACAAGGGAGCTACAATGAAATCAAATAAACGGTTTTCTGAACCATGTGTTATGAGAAAATTCAATATCCTCAGAATAAGAAAATTTTTTTGAAAAGTTCTACATTAAATATAAAAGTATTTGTGGCATGATCAAGAAACACATGAACTTTTTCTCATGCCTCTAAAGTCTAAACATTTACGCGTAACATGGACGATACAACTCCTAAACGAAGAACTACAACGTTAACTAATAAAAATGCATATAAAATGTCACAACTAAAACACTTTCACAAAGATAAATGCAATTCATAAAAAAAAATTCGACTATGAAATGCCACATAACTACATTAAAACACTTATACAAAGCTAAGTTTGTGTCTGTTTGTTCGCACCTTTCAACCCCTATAATAGTAGGCCTATAAAGATATTGTTGCGTCATCGAGATCATGTGATTCTCACGCTCTCTCCTTTCTTGAATTATCCTGTACTTTGGCG